TGTGTGTGTGTGTGTGTGTGTGTGTGCGCGTGCGCGTGTGTGTGTAAGTGCAATGACTGCACTAGAGAGAGAGAGAGATCAGCACTTGTATAACATATAAATACACCTTTTCAAACACGCGAACAGTCACACACACCCACATTGCAGCAAACATGAATTTAAAAGAGCTCGAGTGAAATAGAAGAGTGTCTTTGAGAATATAATAATTGATGTATTCAAAGAAGCATGAACTGGAACGGCACACACACACACACACACACACACACACACACACACACACACACACACACACATACGCACATACACATACACACACACACACACACACAGGCACACATATACGCGCGCGCAGCATACAGTGCAAGCTCCGGAATTCACTAACAAAGTGACAAAAATGTTTCCGCTGATACAGGGATCAGTTCGGTCAATTATTTACTAGTTTATGGGTGCGTTTGCTGCCGCGTTTCAATAAATGATAATGCAATAGACTAAGAACGTAAGAGAAAAAAAAGAAGAACGTAATAATGCATAGCTAGCAGTCCGCCAATATAATACCCAAAAGCTCTAAAGCAAAGATGAAGTGCAAAGTATATATTAGGAAAAAAAAGAAGTTTTAAATTTCAAAATATGACAAAACAGATTAACATAGAGATCTGTGTATGCTGCGCTCTGGGTTCAGTACATTGAAATCTTTTCACTGATATTCTTACCAAGTATAAGAAATAAAATCAAAATTATTTTCGTAGATTTCATATCACATATGGTTAATTGAAAATTTTTTTTTTTTTAATTCTGTTAACTCAGAAATAACCCACTGAATTATCCCACTCCTAGCAGTTTTTTTTTCTTCTGGAAGAGCAACAAAGTACAAGAAGCTGTTCTTATCGAACAGATGGTGAACCTCATCCCGGACTTCATAAAAGTATCGGTTTTGATTGATGAAGGGCAGGACCGAAAGAAACAGGTTGGTGTTTATCTTAAATCAATCACTCAACTGAATCTTTTGCATTTAAAAAAAATGGCTTTAGTAAGCGTTCTATGACACTTGCAACACAATTACTGTAGGTCATATTAGTGTCGAAGATTAGAGGTGTACCTAGACAGTAACAATCACAAAAAGGAGGAGAGATAAGGATAATGCATCTGTGATAGGAAAGAAAGAGCAGACCTCACAGAACACCCGCGAACCACACCACAATAATATTATTTTTCCTCGGAGTTATTGAGACCATAAATGCAAAGACCTGGGTGGCTTTCTCCTGACTTTCTCTGTCCGAAAGGGTCCATGAGCGCCCAAAATCAATCATGCTCTCGTCTCATCATGATCGGTAGTAACCCCAAAGATTCTCTGTCTGGTAGAGAATCTTTGGTTACCCCACATTCTATTTTAATCTATACCCCTATTTCTTCCTCCACCCACTCTCTTTTCTTTCTTAAGGAAGGTCGTTCATCTCTCTCTCCCCCCCCCCGCGTGCGTGTGTGGTTCAAGCGGTCAACTGCCCAACTTATCAGAAGGGTCACATTCATGCGCTTTACTGAGTCATCACTGATTATGCCAAAACTATCATTGTGTTACTTATAAGTTTTCATCACATCATTTTTTCTTAACCTTCGCCTTCATCGACATAATTTAGATAATTAAGGAGGCGGGCATCTGATCCTGCTTGTCAGGCTCAACCCCGGCTGAGAGGGATACAACATCCCAGCAGGAAGACAGTGACAGTCGATTAGAATTTGTCCCCGCTGGGGAATCGAACTTATGTCTCCAGACCTGACTGCTACACCATAGATGCCGCTGATATTTTCATGGTGTCGAAATGGACAATAAGAAACCGAGTCCTACAATACAAAGTACAAAGTGCACTGTTGAGAACGGAGAAAGAGAGCAAGAGAGCGAGATAGATAGATAGATAGATAGATAGATAGATAGATAGATAGATAGATGGATAGATAGATAGATAAATAGATAGAGAGAGAGAGAGAGAGAGAGAGAGAGAGAGAGAGAGAGAGAGAGCGCGAGAGAGTAAAGACGAGGGTTCAAGAGAGGACAAATTTGCAAAATAACAAGGACAACGTACCTCGTATCCTCGACTATCAATACCATTATTTCCCCCTTAAAATGTAGGTACTCTTTACGCCGCCGTCTACCCAATTAAGACGTTTCGGAGGCTGCCTTCGATCCTGCCTGCCAAGGTCAACCCAGTTTGAAAAGGATGTACCATTCCAGCAGTGGCTGGGCGCCATTGGTGCAATTGGTGCAAGAGCACCACCTAACCATGGCCTTCAAACCGC